CAATTAAGTCCCCAAAATTTCCATTATTAAGTGAGGCATTTGACACGTGAGTTTTGTCCCATTTTACAACACTTCCTGCCACCGTTGTTAAGTGAATCACTGCAGCTGTTAAATTAGTCAAATTGTTGTTAAGTGAATCTGGCTTCCCCCTTGACTTTGCTTGCTAGAGGGCCACAAAAGGGACTCCAGGACACTGCAACCGTCATAAATACGAGTCAAATGCCAAGCATTTGAATTTTGATCACCTGACTATGGGGATGCTACAATGGTCTTAAGAGTGAAAAACGGCCATAAAGTCACTTTTTTTCAGTGCTGTTGTAACTTTGAATGGTGACTAAATGAATTGTTGTAAGTCAAGGACTACCTGTACACCTTGGGGGGGAAAAAGGTTTGCTTAACTATGGCGTTCACTCAACGACTTGGTGTTGGTTTAACAATTGCAGCATTTGCTTAACAATCCCTGCAAATAATGTCCCCAAAGCGGGGGGCAGTCACATGCTTAATGACCATCATGATGACCTGCTTAATGACCATCATGACTTAGGACTGTAATTCCAGTCTCAATTACGGTCATAAGTCAAGAATTATCTGTGTACTGTACTTACTAAATGTGCGACGCTGTGTACCAGGCGACTTTTGATGACAGGGCGAAGGAGGGAAAGCCCTATCTTGCAAAACTGAAAGAGTGTTTCTGGGCATTTTCATAATGGTCCAATGTGCACAGGTACATCAAAACGCCAAGGTGGTCCAAGCCAGCCAGCCATGGTTTGCATGATAAACATAACCCAGATTGAGCAACCGTAATGTAGGACGTCTGTGATATCACCTCATCCTAGTGGATGATCACTTGAAAAGGAGCCAGCAGCAGCCCAAAAAAGCAAATACAATCTTGGGTTGTATAAACAAGAGGCATAGAAATCAAAATCACATGAAGTACCATATTAGCACCGCTTTACAAAAGCCCTAGTAAAGGCCACACCTGGAATACTGCAACCCATTTTGGTTACCAGCTACAAAACGGATGGTGAGACTTTGGAAAAAGTTCAGAGAAAAACAACGAAGACGACCAAAGGTCTGGAGACTAAAACATATGAAGAACGGTTGGTTGCAGGATTTGGCTAGTCTAGAGAAAAGATGAACTAGGGGGGAGATGATAGCAGAATTCAAATATTTGAGGGGCTGCCAACGAAGAAGAGGGGATCCAATTATTCTCCAAAGCACCAGAAGGCAAGGCAAGGAACAATGGGTGGAAACTAATCAAGGAGAGAAGCAACCTAGAATTAAGGAGAAATTTGCTAACAGAGAGAACAATTAACCGGTGGAACAGAAGTTGCCTTCGGAAGTTGTGGGTGCTTCATCACTGGAGGTTTTTAAGAAGAAACTGGACAGCCACCTGTGTGAAAGGGGATAGGGCCATGATGGCGAACCTATGGCATGTGTGCTGTAAGTGGGGGGAGTGCAGGGGTGTCACACACACACACACACACATGCGTGGGGGATGCACATGTGCATTGCATTATGGATGCACATGCACACACTTTCAGCACGCAACGATGAAAAGGTTAGCCATCAGGAGGCTGGACTAGACGACCTCCAAGATCCCTCCAGTCCTGTTCTGTTGTTCTGTCCTGTCCTGTCCTATCCTAGAACTGAAAAATAGGACCTCAGGTTACAGACCTCACATATGACACTTTAATTCATTCTAAGTGGGGGAGAAATTCCCCGCTGTCCTGGAATATAGTCATAGAAAAAGTGTCAGATTGATCAATAAATGTATCCCTTCATAACCTGAAGGCTTGACGACAGAAGACATTAAACACACACAATTCACTTGGAGTGCAAACTTCCACAGCTGCAAATGGTTGAACCAAGGGATCATTTCAAAGGAAGCCCTCTGCATGGGGACCTAAAGGCTTTGCCAGTTTGGTCTAGTGGTTAAAGCACCAGGCGAGAAAGCCAGAGATTGTGCGTTCAAGTCCTGCCTCAGCCACGAAAGCAGTCTGGGTGACTTTGGGCTAGTCATTTTCCCAACCCACTTTGTAGGGTTGTTGTTGTGAGGGAAATAGGAGGAGAAAGACATGCTGGATATGCTGTTTGCAAAAATAGTAAAGATGGGATAGAAATAAATAAAAATCCTTGTGTTGGCTTCACTCTGGCCTAGCAACCGCATCCACAAGCAATCTGTGTCAGAGAATGAGCTTTCTCCTCCTCATGTAAATTATAGGTGCCAAAAAAAAATTAAAAAAATAGAGTTGTGGTGAATAGCACAAAAAGCTATTTTGTGCTATCCTGTTTTGTGGATTAGGGATTCACAGGAAGAAGCTGTGATGGGAAAAAAAAAGCTTAAAGTGATGGAAATAAACTATAGAACGAATGCCACATGAACCCTGGCCTGGAACAGAGAGGTTCCCGCTAACAACTTGGGAGAAATAACTTGAATCTCCCCTCTAATGGGGTGGAACTAGGAAACAGTCTTTTAAACATTACAAAGCAGTGATTGTTAAGCATAAGTACGCAAATGCTGAACAAGGTACTGAAGATCAATTTGGCCTATCAAGAATAAGGCCTGGCAGGGTTCCTCAACAGGCTGCAAGAAATCAGAATTGCAGATTTGACTCTCCCATTGTTTGCAAAATCTCTCCTAAAATTCCTATTCTGTAACGAAAGTGACTTAAGAAGGGTACCATTAGTATTGATTTCAACAATAGCTCAAATTACAAACAGGGAACAACTGTAACAGCTTGGCCCCTATTAAATAAATGGAAAACCGGTTCATAATTCCATTGATCAACGAAGAACTTCTTGTTGGAGGCATGACCCTTAAATCTTTTCTTTTAGATGAATATTGCCTTGCTTTTTTATGAGATGACCTGTCACAGTAGTTCATTTATATCTTATTAGACTGCAGGAGATGAGAGGCTAGCAGGGGCCCGCATGCAATAATAACTAAATTGTTTTAAAGAACTGCAATCTATTCTGCCTTAAACATCAAGCTGTTCAGTTCCATTCCAAATGAAAGTTTAATGGCAGTAGCACTTAGACTTATATACTGCTTCACAGTGCTTTACAGCCCTCTCTAAGCGGTTTACAAAGTCAACCTATTGCCCCCAAACTATCTGGGTCCTCGTTTTACCCACCTTGGAAGGATGGAAGGCTGAGTCAACCTTGAGCTAGTGGGAATCGAACTACTGAATTGCTGTCAGCTGGCAGTCAGCAGAAGTAGCCTGCAGTACTGCATTCTAACCACTGTGCCACCATGACTCTTTTAAGATAGACAAGTCCAGAAACTCCCAAATGAGTCTATATCCAATAACTATACTGGCACAAGGTTTGCTGGCCCCACTAGTGATCCTATTCGGGGCAATGCCACCCAATAATCGATCGCTTCTTTATTTCCTGTATGCAAAAACAACTGAGAGAAAAAGAACTGGTGAATTCTCCAGACTTAGTTTCTTTCCCTTTCCACCAACACTGACCAATCAGCTTCAGGATTTAATGTCTATTGGGTGGCAACTGGCTAAAAAGAGAGCCAACCTAGGAGTAAGGAGAAATTTTCTGACAGCGAGAACAATTAATCAATTGTTTGCCTCCCAGGGTTGCTCTATCATTGGTGGTTTTCAAAAATAGACTGGGATGGTATAGGACACCTGCCTTAAGCAGGGGGTTGGACTAGAAGACCTCTGAGGTTCCTTCCAGCCCTATCATTCTTTAGAGGTAGTCCTTGGATTATGGTAGCAATTGGGACCAGAATTCCTATCGCTAAGTACTGTGGACATAATGCACAAGGTTACATCACCTCATTGCTTAGTGATGGCAATCCTGGCATTCCCTGTTGCTGTTGTAACCTGAGGACTGTGTAGGTTGTTCAGTGAGGACCTCAGGTGACCACAAATTGGGAAGAGGAGGGAGTCCCAGGAAGCGGATCGGCAACAGGAATTGATGAACAGATTCAGTCAATCTTAGTTTCCGTATATGCCACCATTTAAGAAATATCATGGTTCTGAATATATGGGAGGGAGGGAACAAGATCAGTGTGAAAAGACCAGTGGTTTTGACATCATTGTCATATTGCCTAGATTCAGCACTTATAAATCCAGCAGTTAACAGGGCTGTGAATGAGTCTCAAGTCAATGTGAGGGAAAACTTGGCCAGAGAAATGTTTGCAGAGTTGACGAAGATAACAGTAGCAAAGGGATAAAAATATGTGAGCAAGAAGGAGGGAGAATTATAGGCCAACAAGAGAAAAATCAATATATACAAGAGAATGACTAACATTCACAGAGAAGAAATGGCTGGGGACAACTGTAGCTATAGATTTGCTTTGTTTCAGTATTTTACAAGATTGATACCCCAAACGACAATCAAAAGAATGCTAACTGAAACTTCTCCACTTGAAGTAGTAAATGTGGATGTTTTTCAGGAAAAGGTTCCGGGTTTCGTCCTTTTCAAGGTTCTAGGTAAGATCCTTGCTCCAGAAACAGCTAACTTTTAATGTGACTAATATTAATGAGAGAGAGGGAGAAAGAGAGAGAGAGAGAGAAAGAAGTCTAGTGGTTAAGGCACTAGGCTAGTTAAACTAAAGAAGCTTCTTGGGATGAAAAGTGAAATGTCTTCAAGGAAAAAAACCAAGAAAGGCCAGTTGTCTTTTGAAAAGCACTTTTGGTACACTTAAGTTTGTAAACTGTTCTCCACAGTGAGATTTAAAAAGAATTCAGTTCCTCTTACTATTTAGGATGGTTGCCAGATACTGCAAAAAAGTTCTTCAGAAGTTCCCAACAACACACAAAGATTACAATACGTCTTCAAGAAATAAACAGGCACACCACACATAGCCCAGAGTATAGGTGATGCTTTTGTAAGAGGAAGTATTTCTTTAACAGTACTCTCACTGTTGATTATCTGCTCTGATGACATTCCTTCCAATTAATTCAAAGTATTTAAGTGAGTTTAAGGAGGACCCCATTCTAATTTTTCTGGATGGATAGATCAAAACAGCTTACCGATTAGTTTGACACATTCCATGATAGGCCTCAATTGCATCTTCTGGATCCACATGTTTGTCGCTATTGGGCCAGCTGGTTTGCGTCTTGAGGTTTGATTCCTTAAAAAAAAGTCAAAAGATCAATATTTTGCCTCATAAAATTATTGCTATTTTTCATAACATGTTGATTGTGCTGTGCATGCACTAATTTGGGTTTCAAGCACATTTACCACAGCCACAAAATAAATGAAAACCAACAGAAAGCTAATAGAAAAAGCCCAACTAATACAACCTAAAGGAAGTTAAAGAGAAAGAGAGAGAGAGAAAGAGACTGAGGATTGATTAAAAAATCTGGTTTAATTTTCTTCCCTCTCCTCTAAAAATCCTACTTTTTAAAAAGCAATGAGGATTCCCTGTTGAAATATACTAAATAATTCATTTCACAAAATCACTGCTCCCAAATTTAGGAGCAGGAATATATGATACCAACATAAAATCAATGTGTTTGCCAGCTTACAAGGAGAAGAAATCAGTGATAGAATAACACTGGGATCGAAAAGTTTTCCCTGTCCAGTTGTGTTTCATCTCTGTTTCTTGGCCAAGGGAGCCAGCATTGTCTGAAGACATTTTTACATGATCATGTGGCTAGCATGGCTGTACACGAAAGATGCATGGAACATTGTTCCCATCAAAGTGGTACCTATTTATCTACTCGCAAGTGCATGCTTTCAAACTGCTAGGTGGGTAGGAGCTGGGGAAGGAATGGGAGCTCATCCCGTCACATGGTGCTCGGGTCTCAAACCCAGGCTGTCAGCTTTCCAGCTGATAAGCTTGGCATTTTTAACCACTGTGCCTTCTAGGAGGGCTTAAAATTGAAAGTGAAATGGGGAAAATTATAAAATTCATCACAGTACTAGAGGAATTATACCAACTATAGCCAAAGTCATTCACAGAAATTAGTCTTTGTATTAGTTCAGCTGTTGCAGATAGAGAAAAATGATACTTGGCAGAATTTTAGCTAATATTCCTTCCTCCTCTATTCTCCTATTTTTTTAAAAAAAATCCCTGAGATGCAACCCTAAAGTAGAAATTCTGTGGTTTTGTAAAATAATCCTATTAATTCTGCACATCCATCATAATGCTGACAATCTCACAAAGTTTGCAAAAAGCTTTAGAAAAGGAAAATTGTCAATGCAAAAACCGTGCAAGTGTGTGTTTCTTATAAGGATTAACTTTGATATTGCCTTAGGATAAGCCTGATAAGCAAATCAATTAACACCCAATTCATTTTCTTAAACGCATTAGCATTTTTCTCAATTAACAAAATGTTTGCTAACATTTATGTGTGTGTGTGTGTGTATGTATGTATGTATATATATCTGCTTATCTCTCCATCCAAAATGACTTTGCATACATTGTCTTTGAACACATCTTTTTCTGATGTTTGTACAGGAGTTGTTGTTATTATTATTATTGTTGTTATTATTATTATTTAAATGTACCTGCATAAATGCCTTTTCAAAAATACAAATTAATTTGTTTTTATTCTCTGGCCCATGCCTTTCCCTGATTAAGACTTTTGAGTCAATGTTTTCCCAACGCAAGTGCTTTGAAATACGAATTATTTTTACTGATGCTTGCACCTCTTTTGAAATTAGTGGTGATGTAACTGAAACTGGTTGGTTAATCAAACACCAGGTTCTTGCCTGTGGAAATTTCTTTACCTTCCACTTCAGTTTATTTATGTTTTGCAGTGCCATCATTTTTTAAAAACCATACTGTCAATGTGCCCATCATTAGATCAGCTGGAGAAAGGCCTTTGGAATATAAGGAACTTCTCCCAAGTGAATACAATAGAGGAGCATATACAGGTGAAACTCGAAAAATTAGAATATCATGCAAAAGTTCATTTATTTCAGTAATGCAACTTAAAAGGTGAAACTAATATATGAGATAGACTCGTTACATGCAAAGCAAGATAGTTCAAGCCATGATGTGTCATAATTGAGATGATTATGTCTTACAGTTCATGAAAACCCCAAATCCACAATCTCAGAAAATTAGAATATTGTGAAAAGGTTCAATAGTCTAGGCTCAAAGTGTCCCACTCTAGTCAGCTAATTAAGCCATAACACCTGCAAAGGGTTCCTGAGCCTTTGAATGGTCTCTCAGTCTGGTTCAGTAGGAATCACAGTCATGGGAAAGACTGCTGACCTGACAGTTGTGCAGAAAACCATCATTGACACCCTCCGTAAGGAGGGAAAGCCTCAAAAGGTAATTGCAAAAGAAGTTGGATGTTCCCAAAGTGCTGTATCAAAGCACATTAATAGAAAGTTATGTGGAAGGGAACAGTGTGGAAGAAAATGGTGCACAAGCAGCAGGGATGACCGCAGCCTGGAGAGGATTGTCAGGAAAAGGCCATTCAAAAGTGTTGGGGACTTTCACAAGGAGTGGACTGAGGCTGGAGTCAGTGCATCAAGAGCCACCACACACAGACGGATCCTGGACATGGGCTACAAATGTCGTATTCCTCTTGTCAAGCCGCTCCTGAACAACATCAGAAGCATCTTACCTGGGCTAAAGAAAAACAGAACTGGTCTGTTGCTCAGTGGTCCAAAGTCCTCTTTTTTGATGAGAACAACTTTTGCATCTCATTTGGAAACCAAGGACCCAGAGTCTGGAGGAAGAATGGAGAGGCACACACTGCAAGATGCTTGAAGTCCAGTATGAAGTTTCCACAGTCTATGTTGATTTGGGGAGCATGTCACTTGCTGGTGTTGGTCCACTATGCTTCATTAAATCCAGGGTCATCGCAGCCGTCTACCAGGAGATTTTGGAACACTTCATGCTTCCTTCCACAGACAAGCTTTATGGGGATGCTGACTTCATTTTCCAGCATGACTTGGCACCTGCCCACACTGCCAAAAGCACCAAACCCTGGTTCCATGATTACTGTGCTTGATTGGCCAGCAAACTCGCCTGACCTGAACCCCATAGAGAATCTATGGGGCATTGCCAAGAGAAAGATGAGAGACATGAGACTGAACAATGCAGAAGAGCTGAAGGCCGCTATTGAAGCATCCTGGTCTTCCATAACACCTCAGCAGTGCCACAGGCTGATAGCTTCCATGCCACGCCACACTGAGGCAGTAATTGCTGCGAAAGGGGCCCAAACCAAGTACTGAGTACATATGCATGCTTATACTTTTCAGAGGTCCGATATTGTTCTATGTACAATCCTTTTTTTTATTGATTGCATGTAATATTCTAATTTTCTGAGATTGTGGATTTGGGGTTTTCATGAGCTGTAAGCCATCATCACCACAATTATGACAAATCACGGCTTGAACTATCTTGCTTTGCATGTAATGAGTCTATCTCATATATTAGTTTCACCTTTTAAGTTGCATTACTGAAATAAATGAACTTTTGCACAGTATTCTAATTTTTCGAGTTTCACCTGTAAACCAGGGGTTTCCAACCTTGGCAACTTTAAGATTTGTCGACTTCCACTCCATAATTCTGCAGCCAGTATGACTGGAATTCTGAGAGTTGTAATCCACAAGCCTTGGTTTGAAATCCACAACCTTGATTTGCCAAGGTTGGGGACCCCTGATATAAACTAAGCTTTTCTTGTAGTTGGGCAACTTCCTAAGGAAAGCACCTGGGACTTGACTGCAGTCTTTTGACAGCAGAAACTTCCATCATGAAGCAGGAATAGAAAAACACCCTAGCATAGCTCTACCTCCGAAGCAGCTAATTTCTTTTTTCCTGAACCAACCTGGGCATCTACTATTTTAGAGCAGACATAAATCTTGGTCCAGACTGGCCCAAGAATCCTCTGCTCATCATAGATCTCCAAATCTTTCAGTTTCTTTATCATGGAGTCAGAATGGCATATTTAAATCCCAAGGGCCAATCTGCTGCTTAATGCAAGAACCAAAATTAAGTATCCCAGCTAAACTTGTCCTCTGCTAACTCGTGGTTTGTCACATATGCTAATTCAATGCTACATCAATAGCTTTGTTTGCTGAAAACCCACTGAAGGCCCCACCAAGTCCAATGGAAGACTAGGAATGGGAAACCTTCTGAGGCTCTTCCACAAACCTCAGAGCAGCTCTTATTCCCACCCTAGATCATAACTTGGAGCTGAGAACTGACCATTTGCTCTACGGATTGCAGCTCAAGATGGACAATAGCAATAGACTTATATACCGCTTCACGGTGCTTTACAAGCGGTTTACGGGGATCAGCATATCACCCCCAACAATCTGGGTCCTCATTTTACCCACCTCAGAAGGATGGAAGGCTGAGTCAACCTTGAGCCTGGTGAGATTTAAACTGCCAAATTGCAGGCAGCTGGCAGTCAGCAGAAGTAGCCTGCAGTACTGCACTCTAACCACTGCACCACTGTGACTCACCATCAATTTCCATTACTGCATTGTTGTCAAGACACAAAAGAAAAGCAAGTAGCATATCATTCCTTTATCTGCCAAAGCTGGATTCAATGTGTAGAATTTTCAAGGCTACATTTGACTGATTTTGGGGGCTCGATGATTTTATCACTGCTTTATCTGCCATATTTCCTCTGCAAAAGCTCTTTTTCCAAAAGGCAGCTGGAGTTTCTTGGGGTTATTTTCCCCCTTGAAAACATTTTGCTTCTCAACCAAGAAGCTTCTTCAGTTCAATTCCAGTTCTATCTGACTAGTGGGGAATAGAAAGATCCAGTCAACTAGAATCGAAGATGCTTCTTGAATGAGAAGCAAAATGTTTGGAAAGAAAAAAAAATCCAAGAAAAATCCAGTTGCCTTTTGGAAAAAGCACCTTTGGGACAATCATGACCTGGATGATTGAAAATCTCCATAGACATTTCCTCTGCCTGTCAAAAGCTGCATTGTTTTCCAATTTATGGGTTTAAAATCAGAAGTGTCCCTCCTTCTCTCTCTCTCTCTCTCTCTCTCTCAGTTAATGCTTTAAAAAAAAAGTGGATGAACAATCAGGTGCTAAACAACGTTGACTTTGCAATTTTACTAAAACAACGTGCACGACAGCCGATAACACGGTGAAAAGAACACACGCACAGTGAGGTACGTTGCACACGCTTTTCTCTTTCGTTACCATATTTCTGCCCGCGTCTTTTTGCTGGGCTGCTCTTATAATCTGGGTCCGGAGAATGAGCACCTCATCCTTCCGTACTTCCAGCTCTTCACTAGCTGACGTGAGCTGATTCAGGAGTAGGTTGTAGGTGTCATGAACATCATTGGAAGAATTGTTTCGGACCACGCCATCCACAACAGCCTTCCTGAGTTCGTTTAGGTCATTTTTCAGTTTCTTGTTCTCAGATTCTAACTCTTGCCTCTATTAAAAAGGATATTGGAAAAGTGATTCCCGTCCCATACATTTGTATAACTAATGGATGGTGGGTGTGTTTAAGTGTTCGAAACAACACATGAAAAACAGTCAGCTAGATGCAGAGAGCTGGATGATAAAAGTCCAGACAGATGGAGGAGCACATTTAAATTAATGTTTCAGTTCCTCTCCATCTCTTGGAGAGGCCAGCTGGTAAAACAAAGCAGGTGGTGAGAATATACAAACCACATCAAAGGCAAGAGGCAGATTTATCTCCCAAGCGGGCTGGTCTGCTGCTGTTTTGAGTGGACAGTAGTAGGGACGGAATTCTATCGGTTCGGACCGGTTCTATAGAACTGGTTGTTATGATTCTGTGGAGAACCGGCAAATAGTGCCCCTGGCTGACCCCACCCCTCCCCACACAGTCAGTCCTTATTGCGCATGTGCGATATTGCTGACTGCGTTCTCCCTGCCCAGTCACTCCTAAAAGGTATTTTCCCCCCGCAACGATCAGCTGTGCCGGGATCCCCCTCGCTGTCATACTGCTTCGCCCAGGAGGCTTCCCTGAGGCCCAGAAATGGAGCGTGGGGTGGGGGGGGAGCTGTGCCCTCCTGTGCTCCGTTTTTGGCCTTCATGGGTCCCAGGGAAGCCTTCTGGGAGCAAAAATGCCCCCCACAGAAGGCTTCCCTGAGGCCCAAGAGGCCCCTCAAAGATGGGGGGGATGCTGCAAAAAAAAAAAAAAAACCACGCTGACCAAGTCACATGGCCATGCCCATCTAGCCACGCCCACAGAACCGGTTGTTAAAAAATTTGAATCTCACCCCTGGACAGTAGTGACCACAACACGACATTCAGAAGAATCCACTGGTGATCACCGTCAGCAAGTACAAAAAAGGACGACAAAAATTTGAGCTCTTCAAAGTCACCATTGTTTGTTTGCACTTGGAAAGTAGCCAGAAGGAAAGCTTTGGTCTGAGTCTTAAGTTTTTCCTTCTCTTGATACAGACACTCTTGAGAAATTGCTTCTCAATTGTTGAAGGAGACAAGGGCATCACTTTGTTTGGCCCTCAATGGATTAATTTTCTCCAGTATTGAGGAAACTTCACTTAATTGCCTCTGCCTTGTTTAGGGGCAAGTGAGATCCGAATGTGCCAGAAATCAAAAAGGAAAACCCATAACATTTCATGGCTGATTGATTTTATATCGCAGCTTGTTAGAGACATGATAGGAGAAGGTGCAAAGAAGAGACAGAAAAGGAACCAGGACGATTCCATTGACTGAAAATTCAGCATGCTTTGTTCTTTTCTTTGAATTACTTCCATCTCAGCTGTTATTATGAAAATGATCTAAATTAAAAACTGATCCCCTGGCTTGTTTTTCTCCTTATTTCTTTAGTACAACATTGTAAAGGCGTAAGACATATGGTAAAAACTGATTTCTAGAAGCCCTCTAAGTCGAACAATTCAGAATAAAGCTGGAAGGGACCTTGGAGGTCTTCTAGTCCAACCCCCTGCTCAAGCAGGAGACCTATACCATTTCAGACAAGTGATTGTCCAGTCTTTTCTTAAAAACCTCCAGTGATGAAGCACCCACAACTTCTGAAGGCAAGCTGTTCCACTGGTTAATTGTCCTGACTGTCAGGAAGTTCCTTCTTAATTCCAAGTTGCTTCTCTCCTTGATTAGTTTCCATCTATTGCTTCTTGTCTGGCCTTCTGGTGCTTCAGAAAATAAGCTGAAATACTAAAATACTGCTATCATGTCACCCCTAGTCCTTCTTTTCTGTAGACTGGCCATACCTAATTCCTCCAACTGTTCTTCGTATGTTTTAGTCTCCAGTCCTTTAATCATCTCGGTGTCTCTTCTCTGCACTTTTTCCAAAGTCTCAACATCTTTTTTGTAACATGGTGACCAAAACTGGATGCAGTTAATTGGTTAAAATGCTTTTAGAAAATAACACTTCATTGATCTACATATGCTTTGGAGGATTTTGCAAGACCCATGAAAACTCTGATGATCATGAATCTTTGTTGTTTTTGCTGCAGAGGTATTACCTCTAGTCCTTTAAAAATGCATTACTGCCTAAGTGAGTTTTGCCAATTAAGTTTTCATCTTCTATGATCACCGAAATTCTGAGCAAAACTTAGCTTCTTTCACAAAACTTGATTTCCCAAGAGCCTCACTTTTCATTTACCAATATTTGAAATGGATTTCTCTCTTCTCTCTCTGATTTCTGTAAAATAATTGAGTGTAGGTAGTCCTGAAGTTGCAACTAGGACTGGAATTTCTATTGTAAATTGTTGCAGTCATAAATCAAGTCAGACCCAATTTTACAACAATTTTTATGGGGATGGTTAAGTGAATTATGCCTTTGTTAAGCAAAACCAGAATCCCCAATGGGTGTTTTTTTTTGCTAGAAACTGATTACATGATTGCAAGATGCTCTATTTTCCAAAGCACCAGAGGGCAGGACAAGAAACAAAAGGATGGAAACTAACCAAGGAGAGAAAAACCTGGAATTAAGGAGAAACTTCCTAACAGTGACGACAATTAACCAGTGGAACAGCTTGCCTCCAGAAGTTGTGGATGCTTCATTAATGGAGGTTTTAAGAAGAGACTGGACAATTGGCTTCACTCCACTTCTCTTCATGTATGTTCACGGGTACCAATCTTTTTCTTTTGGTTGATTTCTGATCTCCTGTTTAATTCTTTCCCCATTAATTCTAGAAGCAGCACCGACTATTTACCACATTTTTCAGTTTTAGAGCTTTTGAGGCCTGGTGACTGCCTGGGCAAGTCCTTGCAGTTTTCTTGGCAAGATATCAGCAGTGCTTTGCTATTGTCTCCTTCCTAGGACTGAGAGAGAGGTCCTCAACCAAGGCCACCCATGTGGTTTTCTGTCCAAGGGTGGGGGGGACGACTAGAACTCACAGTCTTCTGGTTTCTAATCTGTTGCTTTAATCCAGGGGTCTCCAACCTTGGCAACTTGAAGCCTGGAGGACTTCAACTCCCAGAATTCCCCAGCCAGCAAAGCTGAGAGGGAGTGATTGGCTCCAAGTCATCCAGCTGGTTTTAATGCCTAAGATGGGACTAGAACTCACAGTCTCCTGGTGATTGGCTCAATGTCATCCTGCCAGCTCTCATGCTTAAGGCAGGACTAGAACTCACCATCTCCTGGTGATTGACCCAAAGTCACCCCACCAGCTTTCACACTGAAGATGAGATTGGGAGTTCTGGGAGTTGAAGTCCTCCAGGCTTAAAGTTGCCAAGGTTGGAGACCCCTGCTTTAATCACTGCACCAAATTGGCTCTTCTCACTTGCAAGACAGAAACTTCCTATTCTTATTTGTGTGGAAAAGCAGGGGGGGAACGCCAGTGAAGAAAAAGGAGGCTATTGATTTACTCCCTCCTAAACTTTTATTGTTTCTGAAGAAAACAATTTACCAATGACCTCTACCCACTATCTTGACGTTTCCTCAAAGGAAAAAAACAAATACTTTCAAATTCCAAGCACTTCTGCATTAATCATGAGCATTTTGTGTGTGTGTGTGTGTGTGTGTGTGTGTGTGTATGAAAAAGTTCAAAATGCAATCATTTCTCTGAAAACTGTTTATGTCAGTGAAAAATAAATAAGAAGAAACGGCAAATTCTATTTATGCCTTAGTCCTTAGGGAATTTTGCACACAAAATGAAAAAAAAATAATCCGTAGGTGATAACTTAGGAAATGGACTATACTGACAATTTTCTGCAGTCTGGGTCTTCCAGATGCATTGAAATGAGAATTCAAAGAGTTGAGAATGGTTCCAACACGTTTGGGAAAGACTAGGCTACCACCTGTCTTGCCTTGATGTCTAGTGGTTAAAGCATCAAGCTAGAACAGGTGTCTGAGTTCTAATCTCACCTGAAGTATGAAAGCAAGCAAGCTGACTTTGGGTCAATCACCAGGAGATGGTGAGTTCTAATCCTGCCTTAAGCATGAAAGCTGGCAGGAGGATATTGGGCCAGTCACCAGGAGACTGTGAGTTCTAGTCCCATCTTAGGCATTAAAGCCAGCTGGATAACTTTGAGCCAGTCATTCCCTCTCAGCCCAACTCACCTCACAGGGTTGTTGTTGTGGGGAAAACTGGAAGAGGAAGGTGTATGGGATATGTTTGCTGACTTATTTGTAAAAGTAATAAAAGCTGGATACAAGTAAATAAATCATCAGCATCTCCAAACCGGGGTACAAATTATCCCTTACCCAAAACTTGGGATCAGACTCCTGATCTCTCTACAGCATCGTTTTGAGATTTCATCTCCAAAGTTATTCATTTCCACAGGTATTCAACCCTCTAGCTCAGGAGCCTCCAACCTTGACAACTTGAAGCCTGGAGGACTTCAACTCCCAGAATTCCCCAGCCAGCAAAGCTGAGAGGGAGTGATTGGCTCAAAGTCATCCAGCTGGTTTTAATGCCTAAAATGGGACTAGAACTCACAGTCTTCTGGTGATTGGCTCAATGTCATCCTGCCAGCTCTCATGCTTAAGGCAGGATTAGAACTCCCCATCTCCTGGTGATTGACTCAAAATCACCCTGTCAGCTTTCACACTGAAGATGAGATTGGGAATTCTGGGAGTTGAAGTCCACCAGGCTTAAAGTTGCCAAGGTTGGAGACCCCTGCTCTAGCTTACAAACTATAACCCAGAAGAACATTAGTTATTAAGATTTAAAAAAAAAATCCCATTTTTGATAATAGGGGAGGTTGAATTGTGGTGACGGCCTCCTGAGTCAAAAGACCGAGCCTTTAATAGATTAGTGTTAATGTTTTTATTCAGGATTCCCGATTCCGTAGGAAGACTGTAGGGTTGTGTTTTAAATTTATTGTAGATTTTTAATTCCCATTCCATATTGGAGAGCCCTACTGTGCTCCAGATTGGTAGGTTGTAAATTAGAAATAAATCCTAGAATTAGATGCTCAGATTTCTTTATTCAAAGTAACTTTGGCAATGGCTGGATTCAACTTTTCTCTCAGAAGAGAGATGCATGCCTAATTTATTAATTAATTAGTCCCAATTAATTCCTTTAGGTCTTTGTATGTGATACTGCAACCGTCCTTTCTATGAGCCTGGTTAATATTCAGCAGTAACATTTCTTAAGAAGAACAGTAGGAAATTGACAGTCAAGGAGAACATGTTGTTCTGGCTGAATACAACCGATAAGAGTTGCTATGTGACTTTCCTTTTTTTATACTTTCTTTCAAGGTCTCTATAACAAGAAGAAACAGCTCTAAGATCCAATTGAACGATATATTTTTTACCAAACCAACTTGGTATCCTTCCTAACATTTAGTCAAATTCTGAGATAGAATAACTTGGAATCCTAGGCCTCAGTTGTGGCCCAAAAATTCTGGAATAGAGATTTTGGACCTATCCACCTAAAATTTTCTTCCATTATCCAACAGAACAAAAAATAGAGGGAAAAAATCCCTTTCAAACTCCAAACAACACCTTTCTATATATTCAGGTGTTATGTTGCATTTGGTGTTTAAAAATGGCAAGAAGAACTTTTTATTGATTTTTTTTTACCCATTCTGAATATCTTACCAAGGAGAGGTCCAACCCAGAAATAAAAAGAAATTTCCTGACAGTGAAAATAATTAATCAGTTGAAAAACCTGGTTCCAGACATTGTGGGTGCTCTGACACTTGAAGTTTTAAAGAAGAGACTGGACAGCCATTTGTCTGAAATGGTACAGGGTCTCCTGCTTGAGCAAGGGGTTGGACTAGAAGACCTCCAAGGTCCCTTCCAACTCTGTTATTCTGTTATTACAGCTTGGTCTCTAATTTTGCAAGCTTTTTTATTTCCCCGTCTAGTAATATTATCCAAGGAAAACATCCTTCTACATGCACGCATCCTAATTCCACTCCCTAGCCAATTATACCAACCAATAGAAGGGTACAGCCTGTTGAATTACAGGTGGTCCTCATTTAGCAAATGCTTTCTTTAGCGACAGTTCACAGTGATGAAAAAGTAACTTTCTGACCAATCCTAACAATTATGACCTTCGTGGGTTTATAAAGCAAAGGAAACCTGAAATAAGCTTCAATTCAGAGTAGTTGAAATCTAAACAACACTCCCCTCCCCCAATTCAAGAAAAGGAAAACTATAAGTTAGTAAAGTATGACCAGATATTAGAGAATGCTCCTGCAAGAGAGATTTATAAAGACTGATAACAGTAAAGCTCTTTCAGGCTATTAGTATCATCACCAGATACCTGGCCTTTGGGGGGAAAGCTGGTTTGGAGATTTCTTTTACCTTCAGACTGTTGTATGCGAGATCTGTATCTCGGTCCAAATCCATTTCATTCTTCATTTCAATTACCTAGATGGGTTAGGAAGACAAGAAGAGAGACATCTGGTTTGACAACAGGTAACGGTAGATTTCTGCTTGCAGGCCTTACACTGTCTGCCATAGACAGCACTCTGATCATGAAAAGGATATTGAAAGTAAAGGGCGTTTAGGAAACAGACCAATCAGAGGACAAGAAAAACAATGGTGCGAGATAATAGAAATACAAACGAAGGGATTTCCTGATTCCTCATTTTAAGTACAGGTAGTCCTTGACTTACAACCACAATTGAGCCGAAAATTTCTGTTGCTAAGCTTGTTGTTAAATGATTTCCCCCCTCCCCGATTCTACAACCTTTTGTGCCACAGTTGTTAAGTGAATCACTGCAGTTGTTAATTGAAATACACGATGGTTAAGTGAACCTGGCTTCCCCATGGACTTTGCTTGTCAGAAGGGAAACACATGACTGGAACTGAACATACTCAAAACCATAGAAATGGTGGTAGACTTTAGAAGACACCCTCCCATACTACCACCTCTTACAATACTAGACAACACAGTATCAACAGTAGAGACCTTCAAATTTCTAGGTTCTACTATATCACATGACCTAAAATGGACACCTAACATCAAAAAGTCATCAAAAAACACACAACAAAGACTGTTCTTTCTGCGCCAACTTAGAAAGCTCAAACTGCCCAAGGAGCTGCTGATCCAGTTCTACAGAGCAATTATTGAGTCTGTCATCTGCACCTCTATAACTGACTGGTTTGGTTCTGCAACCCAACAGGACAGACACAGACTTCAGAGGATAATTAGGACTGCAGAAAAAACAATTACTACCAACCTGCCTTCAATTGAGGACCTGTATACTGCACGAGTCCAAAAGAGGGCTGTGAAAATATTTACAGACCCCTCACATCCCGGACATAAACTGTTTCAACTCCTTCCCTCAAAATGACGCTATAGAGCACTGCACACCAGAACAACTAGACACAAGAATAGTTTTTTCCCGAATGCCATCACTCTGCTAAACAAATAATTCCTTCAACACTGTCCAACTATTTACAAAGTCTGCACTACTATTACTGTTAATCTTCTCATCACTCCTTATCACACATCCTCTCCCACTTATGACTGTATAACCGTAACTTTGTTGCTTGTAGCCTTACGGTTTTTATTGACTGTTTCCTAGTATGATTTGATTGCTTATTGTACCCTATGACTATCATTAAGTGTGGTACCTTATGATTCTTGACTCTTGACGAATGTATCTTTTCTTTTATGTACACTGAGAGCATTTGCACCAAGACAAATTCCTTGTGTGTCCAATCACACTTGGCCAATAAAGAATTCTATGACCCCAGGACACTGCACTCGTCATAAATATGAGTCAGTGGCCAAGTGTCTGGATTTTGATCCTGTGACCTTGGGGATGCTGCATTACTTGTAAGTGTGAAAAATGGTCATAGCTCTGTTCTGTTGTAACACTGAATGGTCACTAAACAAATGTTTGTAAGTCAAGGGCTATCTGTATTAACTTTGGTGGCTCAGTGGTTAGAATGCCATATTGCAAAGTACTTCTGCTGACTGCAGTTCAATTCTCACTGGCTCAAGGTTGACTCAGCCTTCCATCCTTCCGAGTTGGGTAAAAATGAGGACCCAGATTGTTGGGGGCCAATAGGCTGACTCTGTAAACTGCTTATAGAAAGGGCTGCAAAGCACTATGGGATGGCATATAAATCTGTGCTATTATTATTGCTTTATAGAAGTTGTCCAGAAAATCTGGTTAGTTTTGTGTTGGAAACTACCACAATGTTACGTACGCTGATACAGAACTGATATTTCATAAAAATATGTGCCAGTATTTCTACTGTATTGCAATCTTTTACTGGGTGGAATATTCTTAAATTGACCCTCAAGAACTGCTGCTGGAAGACCATTAACATCATGAATTAGATTGATTCCATGAACTCTTACACTACTGTACTTGGTTAGTCTTTAATCTCTCTGTATAAAAGCAAAATACCACTCACGCATCATCACAAAATCTACAGAACCGTAAAGCTTACAAACTTGAAATTTGGCACGTATGTTCCTCTTGGCTTCTAGGTGCTCACTAAGAAAGGATTTTTCAAAATGGCCATCAGAGCATTAGTACTTCCTATATTATTATTATCAACACGCTCTGATGCTAAGGAGTTCTACTCCCCCTCCCCACCTGAAAAGAAATCTGTTCCAAATCAAAACACAAGCAGAGGAGATGAGTTTCAGTTTCAGAGCACCAAGCAGCTTTAGTACAGAACAGTTGAGCTAAGCCACACCCAGGCTCCTTGCTGTCTCCTTCTTGTTCACACAGCAAATACTGTTTCAGTTTCCAAACAGCCCTCAACTCTCTCTCACACTGACAGGATGCTATCCAGATGAATACCGATGGATGCTGGTAGGCAGAGGCAGAAATTTCCCCCCTTTATTTTCCTCCCCCAAAACTAAGCCCGACCACATAGTTTCATAGCAAAGCACGGGTATCGAGCTAGTATTATATAAAACTCTACTGCAACTGACCCAGGAATGTGATAATCCTTCTGGGATTTTAGAGTTAGAGTTACGAGTTACTGCAGAGTTACGTTCAGTAGTAGGAAACCTTCAAGCCTCCAATTGCAACTACTCTAGCCAACACAGCCAGTTGCCAGAGTAGGGCCTACGATGATATCTTGAGTTCTACAACTTCACACTTCCAATCCATTTGATTTTCTGCAACGGAGCATTTAAAAGTTGTGGGGCGTTTTCCTTTCCAGTTTCAGCTGTTGTTGCTTCTGTTTGTCAACATTAATAAAAAATGCATCACAAAAAGAAGTGGAAAGGCTGCTCCCCAAGGACTCCGGTTGTGATGAGAGTTCTGTTAAATAAATGATTCTTTTTTTGCGCCAGAAAAGCCCAAAACAAAGCAGAAGTGACTGATGCGTAGGACGAGCAGAACTTCTAAAAAGCGCGTCTCCCAAAAGAAAGGGGTCAGCCACTGAAGGAGAAACTTGACTAGTGGAGGCTGGAAGGTAGTAGAGCAGAACTGCCACCATCCATAACACGTAGCAAAAAAGGACATTTGCCTTTCACGGAGAGATAAGAAATCTGGAAGGAAGCACACAAGGACTTTTTCTTTTTCAGCCTGTCAGCACCGATTAAGAGGCAGCAGACATTCTGAGTGGAGGCAAAGCTCTGGTTTACTGGATTCCCAAGAGACGTTATATCAATTCTGGAGAAGCAAATGCAGGTTGTCAAGAACCGTCAACCCCAATTTACTATCTGGCCATTGCAGGGAAAGGTGATGCTACAGGGGGTGAGCCCAGTGGACTTCATCTTATGAAACTGCTATGCCCAATACTCTCTAAGTTGCCCCTATCTTGTCCCTTTCTGGCACTTTGGGATTGCAAACTGTGGTGTTGTGCCTGCACATCCTGTAACTGGAAATCCTGATACATTTGGAGAGCCCAGACTAGAAAAGTTCCGTGGTCTTTGCTATTGCTGCCAATAGACGATCACCCTAACAAAATCTAAGGGGTGGCTGCTTCTGTTCTGACCAAGAGTTCCTGAGAGCATAATTAAGCACACACCTAGTCCAAACAACTCTTCTTTTATTTCATCGCTGGGAATTATGTTCATTCCCAGCCCTTAATGAGTCCCGAACAATCTCTCGAGATGAGCACCCACTTTTATCTCCTTTCAATTGCTGCCAACAATTAAAGTGCCAAATTAACTGTAAAAGCCAACCAAAGTACAAAGTCCACACAGAGCTTCAAGGTTTAATCCAAACAGAGCAAACGACTTTGCTTCCTGCAAAGGTTTCTCTACCTTTGCCCTTCCTTTATACCTTATGGGAGGGGCAATCACCTCCCAGCCTTACTCCTGAGTCGCCCCTTTTGTTTCAGCTGCTCTCGCCTTCTAGCAGCTCTGCGCACACGCGCACTGGGAAAAGGCTCCCCTTGTTCCTCTGCCTCGCTGCTGCCAGACTCTGGAGGCTTCGGTGTCAGCACACAATTCCCAGATGGCCCTGGCCCCATCTCTGCATCCGATGCAGGACCCTCATCTGAGTCCTCCCCAGACTCCCGGACTGGTCCCCATTCTTCCCCACTGTCCGATTCCGCTGCCGTCTGCACAGGCAGACGGCGAACCACAACAGCTTCTTTCCATCTTTTCTCTAGAGAGAAACTACAGCTTAACTCTGTTAAGGGCTGAAGCTTAAATCTGCAGTCTTCTGCATTAAAATGATGGCTTTTTCCGCGGAGTTGTAGCCACTTCCTCCTGCTGTCAGAGTTGTCATCAAAGCTGTGGCAAGGTAGACAATATGTGATGTTATCGAATTCCATTGCTTATTCCTTCTATTGAAGTAGACTAGCCCAAGGTTTCCTCCATTCTTCTCTCTTCTGCCCTGGTAGACTGGTGGAAAGTCCTGGTGAGCTCACTTTTTGCATTTTCTTACTCTCAACCTTCTACATGATATATCACTCAATTCACAGTGAAATAAGCCCCTAAGTAAGGTTTTTCAGAAGTAGCTTGCCACAGCCTCTTTCTTGGAGCTGATCATTTCCTATTTGGAGTTGATTGGGGGAGATCAGATCACATTTGGGGGCATCATAAAAAGGACACTGTAAGAGAACATGAGCAAATCACTCAGCCGTCTTCCTGCCTTTGGCAGGACTAGAACTCACAAGTCTTCCAGTTTCTAGCCTGAGGCCTTAACCACTACATCAAACTGGCATAGTATCATTTGAAAAAGTCCTAATACAAATATGTCTCAGGGCTCACATAATACAAATATCTCTCACGGTTAGGTTACTGATCAACAAGCCCGCGTTCGAGTGCTGCTGCGTGACGGGGTGAGTTCCTGTCATTCGCTGCAGCTCCTGCCAACCTAGCAGTTCAAAAGTGTGCAATTGCAAGTAGAGAGATGGGTACCATGTTAGGATATTGAATTCACTAGCTGGAAAAGTAAAGTGTACAATAAGTCAGGACTCACAGTTAGAGAGTGCTGACTCATGAATGAGGCAATCTACGCTGTGATTGGTTGCTGTAAGTATAAAGGGGGAGTTTTCCTTTTTTCCCTTTTTTTCCCTTCTTCTGGGTGTTCTGTAGATTGATTAATTTACCTCATGATTTCCTGTGTCCCTGACTATCTTCCTTTTCTGGATGATGACAAAGACTGCTGTAACTTTAAATGTTAAATATATTTATATAAAAGACTACAAGTTTGTGTTAGTGTCTCCGACTTCATCTGGACAGCTGCTATGCAATTCCCTGACATGCCACCTAGTTGGGCACATTAAGAGGGGCATGAAAGGTGCTCCCAACCAGGTGTCTCCCAGGCAATGGTGATGTCACCGGCTAATCCTTTCAACCTGCAAGTGCCTTGGTGCTTCTGACATGAATGCAAAAAAATTAAGATGCCAAGAAATGCAACCCAACTTTGACATGGAATCTTTTTTAAGAGAACTCCAACATGCTGGAAATGAACAAGACCATAACCCCCTATTTACATAGCTCTTGCAAGAACAGCTGAATATTTCCCTTAATAAAATTCTGCATCTGAAAACTCCAGCTACTGCAAAATTTAACTGTAAGAAGCAGAGCAAGTACTGGCATTCAATTTGATGCTGCCTTTTTCATCACCTGGCCTCAATCTATCAAGAGCCAACGCAAGAGTCAGATCTAAATTTCCCAATGGCCAGGAAATACAATTGGTATAACTTGGATTTCATGACAGCCAGGGAATCATGGCCAAGCTCATTAACCCTACACCGAGATAAATCATTTCAATAGAGACTGTGCATTCCTGCCCAGAAGACGCAGCAATAGAACTCACGGTCATAATTCTGGATGTATTTCTAACCAACACTCACAAATCTAAAGTGTAGGCATCTCAGGATGCAGATATTATGGATGGGGCAACAGGGAAGAAAAGATCTCTCCATATTATAAAAAGAACAAGCATCTTCTCAACTCCTGCAATAATATTCTGGAAGAAAAACTTGGTGAAAAGAAAACTCTTCAGGGGAGAGAGATGCTGAGGTTGCTAACATATTTCAGTATGGAGCTTACATTTACAGTCTTAAATGGGGCGGTTCCAAGTATACCGGAATGGCACCATTAGATTCAGTTCATTTTGTACCCTGTACTTTTAATCTTGGTTGCTACAAAAGGCAGTATTGCACCAGTCTACTGAAACAATCTGAGGGGATGGCAAAACTCTTTCTAAAGTGCCAGTTCTCCAACATTTTGTAGAAAATAATAATAATAAACAGCAGGTTAGGATATTTGACCACTTTCAATTATAAGATTTCTCAAACGTTAATATCCATTTCTGTTCTATGCTCAACAGTAATCTACACTGCATCCATTTTCTATTCTGGGCTCAATGGGGATTGCAAATTCATCGTTTTATTTATTTCTCACAAATGAAGGCAAATTCTATTTATCAAAATCTGAAACTGCCCATCTCCCTGACATCATCCAAATATAGGAGTGACATGAAAAGCAATTGCTACTTTGGAATGAAGCATAGAGGCAAGATAGGTTATAAAGTAAGAAGTGAATCTGCAAAAAAAAAACCCGGTGAAATGCAATTGTTGATGTAGCAGGCTCAGCCGGAGGGAGGTGTCAAATACATCATAAATCATGAGTTCCTGCGTACCCACAAGATCTAAGTCCACTCCACCTTGAATGCCTCTCATATTTCCCGCTCATATCTCAACTGTTAGTTGGCCAGATTCTTGTAGAGAGCTTGCAACAAATCTTTATACTCAGTTGAATGAACTACCTGAATCTCCTGATGTCCCCAGCACTTGACATTGGATCCTTAAACAATTGTCTCTCATCATTTGGGAATTTGATTTTCAAGACATTTTTGGATCGGGATGCAAAACTCATTGCTCCTCCAAAAGCATATTGACACTTTCTAGGGTTCCTTTATAGGTAGTCTTTGACTTATGACCACAGTAGGGACCAGAATTTGCTAAAGGTGGTTCTTAAGTGAGTTGCACCAAATTTTACATTTTGGGGGGGGGGCATGGTTATTAAGTGAACTGCTTTAGTTGCTAAGTGAATCACACGATTGTTAAACAAATCTGGCTTCCCCCATTGACTTTGCTTTTCAGAAGCCACATGGGAAGGTCACAAATGGTGACCACATGACCTCAGGATGCTGCAACTGTCATAAATACCAGAATTTTTCTCACGTGACCATCAGTGTGAGAACTAATTGTAAGTCACTTTTTTTACCACGGCTGTAACTTCAAATGATTGCTAAACAAATGGTTGTAAGTCAAGGTCTATCTTTATTAATATTTACAACCTCACTAAGGGAAATAAATAATTAAAAGGTCGGCTGTTGTGGGTACTTATCCCCAACTGCTCTCCTTCTATAATAACTACAGGTGATATTATGAACTCTCCCTCCTTCCAGTCATACAGCAGGCAACCTTGGAATGGAGTTCAGGACTAGAGGGAACATGTTGAAATGTAAAAACATAGCAAAGTTTCATTTCCCTTAATTTTTAGAGGCATTGTTAAATATAAGACGGGGGTTTCTTTCACTACAACATGTGGTTCAATCTGTAAGCCCACAATACACATTTTAATTTTTTTTTCCAGACATGCCTATGGTAAGTCAAAATCAATTCTGGCTCTACCTGGGGTTTCTTGCTTTCATTCTCTTTCTTTTCCAGCTGAGTCTTCAACTTTCTTCTCTCCTGTTCAAGTTCCCGCACTCTCTTCTGAAGTTTTAGGAAGAGGCTCATGTCCATGGCTGCCTTCTCCAAGCCAACTTCCTACGGAGGAATATAGGAATAGCTAACTATAGGAAAGAAAGGTAAAGCAACGGAGAAGACACCAGCTCTCTGGAAGCTTGGAGAAGGTGTTGCTCCACTGAGAATCATTGAGAACGACCCACAAATAAGCAGAACTTATTTGAAAAAGAATATGCAGTTCAGTTTTCTTTTGCAAAACGGGACTTGAAGTAAAAATGGTTGTGTATCTTTGAAGAGGCAGTTTATGTGTCTCTAGATATTTCAACTCTTTCTGGCTAAACAGGGAGTCCAAAATGCACCATGCTCCAAACAAATGTAATAGGTGACTAGGACAACATTTCCAATATGGGGGAAGGCTTCCCAGACCTGTTTGTATCCTCTATAATTCCTGTGAGTCATGGTGGCGCAGTGGTTAGAATGCAGTACACTGCAGGCTACTTCTGCTGACTGCCGGCTGACTGCAATTTAGCAGTTTGAATCTCACCAGATTCAAGGTTGATTCAGCCTTCCAGCATTCCGAGGTGGGTAAAATGAGGACCCAGATTATTGGGGAATAGGCTGACTCTGTAAAACTGCTTAGCGAGGGTTGTAAAGCACTGTGAAGTCTAATAAGCAAATAAGTCTAATTGCTATTGCTTGTGGTATTACTGTGGTCTCCTATGTGTAGGAGGAAATTTAAATGAGGCTCATACACAACAAAGTTGTGAAAGGACCTTAAGAAAAGTGTTGTGTATGTATGCAAGAAAAGGTTTCATGTGTCATGTGTGGCTTGGGACCAGGTCACTTTCAGGACCATCTCTCCTCCATGGTGTTAACCCATTCCTTTAGATATGGCAGGAGGTCCTTTCTGGCAAGAGAGTCCCATCTGGTGCAATATTCCACTTTTAAGATGTGTGGACTTCAACTCCCAGATCTCCCCAGCCAGCCATGCAGGCTGAGGAACTCTGGGAGTTGAAGTCCATATATCTATACCACAGTTGCCAAGGTTGAAAAACAAAAGATCTAGTTGCAGGGGTCCAAACTTGGCTGGCTGAGGAATTCTGGGAGTTAAAGCCCACAAGTATTAAAAGTTTGGAATCTCCTGATTTAGTGGGTCCCAGGAGGAACATCTTTTCTGCTGTGGCATCCAGCTTTCCGCACATCATTTCCCAATCAACTTGCCCCAGTTCAGCTGAGCTTTCATAAGGCGTTAAAAACTTAGCTTTGCCATCAATCCTGGGGCCTTGATATAGTGCAGCTGAACCTGCTTTTTGTTTATATTGATTTTGAAGTGATTATTCTTGGGTGCTATCGTACACCGTCTTGTGTTATTTATGTTTTTAATTATTGGTTGTCTTTTCATTCTGTTTTAAAACAGTGTTGTATGTGAGATGAGTGGCCATATTAATTAAGTGGGTCGCAATGGGATTCTAACCAACGCAAGGCAGAATTTCACAGTTTCAAGGCCAGGTTTGACAAGAGAACCAAAACATGGAGGAACTCTTAAGTAATTTTAATTCACACACTAGCTTCGTGTGTGCAACTTCAACTGTAGAAGCTTTTTAAAAGGTCTAGGATATATTGGAACTTGACACTTGAATGCCTTGTGTGTAAACATTGCAAGAAAAGAACTTATAACTCTTTGGAAAGCAAAGCTATATAAATATATCCCTAGGAAATGCTGGCCTTTCTTCTAAAAACATTATTGCTTATTGTGCTCTATGTACAGCTTTGAATCTCTAGGAAAAGCATTCATTTAAAACAGTAATCCTCCATAATTGGCTAATTAAAAAGAAACAAAACCGGGACCGTTTCTCTCAGTGCAAAGCTGAGGTTGTAATGCTTGCTGCTCCAGGATTTTATCTTCTGTTCAATCGTATAGCTTAAGAACGGCACTTTCAAATCGCCATAGTGGGTTTAAATTAGATTTCTTTACCTCGCCATCTTCACCATGTTGGGTGAGAACTGGGGGTCGTTCGGCACAGATAAAGAGGTCACCAGAGATAACATGGATGGCAACCACATCTACTTTTGCCTCTGCAGGAGAATTTCTGTTTTATTTCCATTTTCATACCTCTATCTGCTGTATTGCATCCTCCGTATCGCCTATCTCAGATGTAGAAATGGATGGGTAGTTGGAATCCGATTCCAAGCTGCTCTGGTTTGATGGGTTTCTTCTGTGTCCTGGGCTTTGCTATCCAAAGGGCAAAACCGTGTTAGATGGACTTAGAACTAAGACAGGCCAATTAGTACTATAACGAAGATTGATTTAAAAAAAAAAAACGATACACAAGAAAACAAGCCTTTGATGAATGCATTAAATTTGTGTGCCAAGCTTTGAAATTCAGCTGCCAAATAGTTCATTTACTGACCGTTCAAAGTTACAATGGCACTGAAAAAAGGGGCACGACCATTCTTCAGCTATGAGCTTTGTGGCATCCCCATGGCCACATGATTAAAATTCAGGTGCTTGGCAACTGGTTCATACTTACGACCGTTGCAGTGTCTCAGGGTCACGTGATCACTTTCTGCACCCTTCTGACAAGCAAAGCCAATGGGGATTCCAGATTCACTATACAACCGGGTTACTAACTTATCCAGTGCAGCGATTCACTTAACAACTGGGGCAAGAAAGGTTGTAAGATGGGGCAAAACTCACTTAACACATATCTCATTCAGCAACAGAAAATTTGGGCTCAATTTTGATCGTTAAGTCGAGGGCTAAACCGTGAAGCTGCAACTGGGCAATTATCAGGGGTGGGATTCAAATTTTTTAACAACCAGTTCTGTGGGTGTGGCTTAATTGGTGGGCGTGGCTTGGTGGTCATGTGACTGGGTGGATGTGGCCAACTCAACATCATTCACATCGAGGCACGCATCTCCTCGCCTAGCTTCTCGTGACTGTGGGGATGCTGCAACAGTTGTAAGTGTGAAAAATGGTCATGTCACTTTTTTACAGTGCCATTGTAACTTTAAATGATCACTCCACACAAGCAAAGGAGGGGAAAAAAACTCCAGAGAAGTTCCTGAGACAGGAAGTCTAGTCCTGCCAAGAACGTAATAAGGGTTAACAGAGAGGCAGTTTCTGTAAGCAACACCAGAATGTTTCCTTCCTGCCTTCCTTACAGGATTAGGCCAGTAATTTCTTCTAACAACCGGTTCTCCGAACTGCTTAGAATGCTGTCAAGTTGATCTTTCTTGAGATCGTGACTGTTTTTACTTAGACACAATGGCAGGAGTTCTATATTTCTTTTTAGGAGACAACAGTGTTGACATTACACTAGGCTGATGTGAGGTCACTTGGCTGATGCACAAAACCCACATTAGAGGAGAAGTTGACACCTCTATTCCACATGGGCCTCCTATCACCATCCAAGCATCACAGCAGATGTAACTGTGACCAAGGAAGTCCCAAGTGATAAACAGACTGTCAGGCATTAAGATGCTTAATTTACTATATCCAGGAGAAGGTTCAAATGTATTTATAGACAGCAGAGGATAAAGACATGGAGCCTCTTGTTTGCACATTGCTCACATTCCTCATATAGGCCATGGGTGTAATTAAAATCTAAATTAAAGCTCAGACCAAATGACCTTTTAAAATTCTTCACCAACTTTGGAGGCAGAGACCTTGGGCAGATAATTTCTACGCATCTACCCAGAAAAAAACTCTCTAAGAATTGTTTAAAAGGGATGAAGCTACCTCACTACCACCAAGCAGGAAAAAAAAAAAGTCAAGTCAAACTGGCACCCAATATAAGACTGGAGGCAAAGGATTTTCTTGACACTTTTGTATGGAGACAGTACATGGATGAGAAGAAGGAGCTGCTGATCTGGCTACTGAATCCATACAGGTGATCGATCACCAGGTGTTGGCTAAGGCACTTGGTGGTCTTCAAAGGGAAAGTTGAAGAACAAATATAAATCATGGTAGGGGCCATGCGTGCCATGGTGATGTCTCACCATGAGAAGGTGCCCAAGGATGGTCTTGGAATTCAACTGTGCTGTCACAAGGGCAGATGGACTGTCCTAGCTGTTGGCCAGAAGTCTTGTGCAGCAGATGAATGCAACATTTGATTAGCCAAACCAATCAAAGCAAGATGAAGGCAGCATTTTGACTGGCCAGTCCATACCTTTTAGGGTTAGATTGTAAAAAGCAGGAGTGTCTAACTTTGTCAACTTCAGGATTGTGGACTTCAACTCCCAGAATTCTGGGGGGGTTGAAGTCCACAAGTTTTAAAGTTTCCAAGGTTAGACAACTCAATATAAAACAGGGGTCTTCAAACTTGACAGCTTTAAGACTGGTAGACTTCAACTCCCAGAATTCCCCCTCCAGTCATGTTAGCTCAGGAATTCTGGGAGTTGAAGTCCACAAGTCTTAAACTTGCCAAGTTTGAGGACCCTTGATATAAAGCATAAATTGCCACTGGCTTAAGTTGTCCTTATAAAATCATTTATACAACCATGCTGCCAATGCTAATTGATCTACAGAAAGCTTAGCACACACAACTTGTGACCCTTTAAGTTAAATAAGAATCAGGATGGAGTAAAATTAATTAATGGCCATCCTATTCTACCTGTTATGTTTTCATTGATCCAATCAACTCCTCCGAAAAGAATTTCAGAATCAGGTTCCATCCAACTGAACCAAAGTGCAACAGAACATCTTTGTTGGACACCTGGCTATCACTATAGCTACTATCAGCATTAGCCCTAAAAATTGCAAACAGGCCACTCTACAACATCAGCAGAGCCTTGATGACGCAGAGATTAAAGTACAGTATTTTAGACAAACTCTGTCCACAGCCTGGATTATGATGGAGCTCAAGGTTGATTCAGGCCTCCATCCTAGGTTGGTAAAATGAGGACCCAGATTGTTGGGGAGTGGGATTCAATTTTTTTACTACTGGTTCTGTGGGCGTGGCTTGGCTTGGTGGCGTGGCAGGGGAAGGATACTATAAAATCACCATTCTCTCCCCACCTTACTAACCTGCTTTCCAGCTCCGTTCTCCTGTGCAGGGCAACAAAAGAAGACCCAGCCGATCAGCTGGGACTCGGGAGGCAGAGAATACATGGAGATGGGGCCAATCAGAGGTGGAATTCTGAACTACTCAAAATTTCCACTACCGGTTCTCCAGAACTGGTCAGAACCTGCTGAATACCACCTCTGGTTGGGGACAACATGTAAATAATGCTTACATTGCAAATCTCCCAGAGTGCTATAAACCACTGTAAGGAAGCAAAGGTAAAGATTCCTCCACACATGCATGCTAGTTGTTTCCGGCTCTAGGGGGTGGTGCTCATCTCCATTTCTAAGCTGAAGAGACAGCGCTGTCTGAAGATATCTCTGTGGTCATGCGGCTGGCATGACTAAACGGCCAAGGCCCACAGAACGCTGTTCCCTTCCTACCAAAGTGGTCCCTATTTTTCTACTTGCATTTTTACATGCTTTTGAACTGCTAGGTTGGCAGAAGCTGGGACAAGTAACGGGAGCTCACTCCGTTACGCGGTGCTAGGGATTCAAACCACTGAACTGCCGACCTTCTGATCAACAAGCTCAGCATCTTAGCCCCCGAGCTACCGTGTCCTATAAAATAGTATATACGCCTAAATATTATTGCTAATTGACAGTGAGCTTACCCAAAATGTCAGCATACTATCTATAGGCATCTCATTATGACATTAAGGTAAAAATACTTTCCCATTACCTTGATGAGAGTCATCTCATCACTCAGATTCTCGAATCTCTGCTCCAGCCTTGAATATTCCTGAACAAGATTCTGGTAACGGACCCTCTCCTCATCAAGCTCCTTCTTCATCAGGTTTTCTTCAACTGCATTTTTGGCAAATTCATCTTATAAAAAAATAAAGAAAGAATCTTGAAAGGTACCAAAAACAGTGGATCACCCTCTCTGACCTGGAGAGTAATCTGTGGATCTAGCTTTTAACCGGACAGCATGCGTTTGTCTCGGAGTTACTGATTAAACCGGACACATTCTGGAACCCTGACAGCGGGTCTATTGGTAATGTTCACTGCAGTCCAGTGAATTCCTCAAACCCAGGGAGGTGAAACTCGATTTCATTGAGGGCTGCATCAGGGTTGTGTTTGACCTCGGGGGGAGGGGGTGGCCAGGGGGGGTGGCCAGCTCTACATCACTCGTGTTGGAGGTACCTGTGGTGGCCCGAGAGCTCTGCCAGCGAAAATGGAGCTGGGGTGGTGGTGTGCATGCTCTGTTTTCGCTGGCAGAAGCACTGCGCCTCAGTCCTCCACTGTTTTCAGAGTGGTCCCGCGGGCCAGACCTAAACACCCTGCAGGCTGGATCCGGCACCCGGGCCTTGAGTTTGACACCCCTGCTCAAACCTTACAAAATTGATTACACATTTCCATCATATATGTATCATATTATTACGTGCTCCTTCTATATAATTGCATTACCCCTTTCCATGTGTTCTATGCCATACGCTAAATAAAATAACCACGGTCCAGAATAGAAACAAACTGGTTAGAGCTCTTAAAACGAACCGTCTGTCAGCTGACATTCTTAGGCATAGGGTCTACTTTGCTAGCATCATAAATGACTTGTAACAGGGGTCCCCAACCGCCGGGCCAAGGCGTGTTCAAAACCAGGAGGAGGGAGAGATGGGCAAGTGCGTGCACGTGAACCTCCACTTGCTCAAATGGCGGATCAAGAGTCTGCATGCATGAAGCTCCACTTTTGGGAGTGGAGGGTGCTTGCACTCGTGTACCAAGCTCTGCACGCACAAGTGGAGGATGCTTGCACTCCCACGCAAAACTCCATTTGCACAAATGGAGCTTCTCACGCAAGCATGAGCGCCCTCCGCTTGTGCGAGTGGAGCTTTGCACAAGGGCGCACGCACCCTCTGCTCAAGCGCAAAGCTCCATTCATGCAAGCGGAGGGCGTGCGTGCCTGCCGCTCACACACATGAAGATGTGCATGCGCATATGCTCCTGCCACTCACACACATTCCTGTGCCGGGCCAGGCCGCCAAGCTAAGAAAGTTGGGGACTGCTGATTTAGAACATTTATAGGCCACCGAGAGTCACTTTATTGGTGAAATGGGTGTCCTATAAATTTGATAAATAAATATGCTTCAGAGCCTCTTCACGAACAGAGCAGGAACCTATAATCAGAACAATTTTTTTTTAAAGTCCCACAAAGACTTTTAGAAGGCCAGTTAATCAGGTACACTTTTTAAAACTGTGGTTGTTTTTCAATTACTTCATTTAAAAAAGGAAGTAATTCTTTCTTCAGTATTATTGACTTTCGCATTGCATGAATTTCCTCTAAAGTAGAAAGGAACACTTCCATATTCTCGCTTTGCCTACAACATACAAATTAACTCTAAAGTTCAACTAATATTGATTTGGTCAGTTGAGTCAATTGATGTCTAAATGAAGCCTCTGAAAATGCATTTCTTTTAGCCAATTTTCAGACTACAACGCTTCAATAAAGAAACACCAAATGCTTACATTTCAGTCTCGTTTTCGTTTTTTTACTTTTCCTCTCTTTGACTTTGTTAACGTTTAACTCGGTTTTATGTTAAACAGATTTTCTATTGCGCTGCTCCCACATTTCCTGAATACACCGAATGGATTTTGGTTTGAACACTGCCGATTTTAAATCGTCTGCTGACTTTTCAAGGCAGTTTCAAGACAAAGGATCTGTTTAGCATAGGATGTTTCATTCCATGCAATTCCCTCCCCTCCGCAGGACTCCAGTGATTAAATGAGTTTATAGTTACAACCATCCACCTTCACCGGATAAATTTTAAGCAATATATGCCTCAGACGGAGAAAAAGGCAACCTGTTTGAAATTTACAATGATTATTATTTACAGTGGAGCCGATGAGAAAAGACTCATAAACACATGTTGAAAAAAAATACAAACCCTTTCATTTAGCTATCAATATGAATAAAGCCACCTGCTACTTCCGCCTACCTTCTGACTGACCCAGTATCTTGTTGTTCAGTGCCTCTTTTTCTTCCTTCAGAAGGACATTCTCTTCTTCCAAATCGGATATCCTCTGAGGAGAATACAAGGAAACCAGGTTAACGTTCGCACTTTTGGCCAATTGGAGGTCACTGAATGCCGCAGACCGATTTTGTATGTTCAGAAGCCTGGCTGACTTTTATAGCAAAACCGGTTTTTTCCTCCTTCCTTTATTAAAACAATGATAGTGCTGCTCTAAGCATATGCCAGTCAATTGTTTTCAGTGGTACGTTAAAGAGGTACGCAACTTAAAATTAGCAAATATTGATAGTGCAGGTATTACTATGATATCAACAAGAATTATAAGCGTTCTCTGAGAGACTGTTCAAAGTTACGACGGCACTGAAAAAAGTGACTTATGACTGTTTTCACACTTATGACCGTCCACCTTTGGACAAGCAAAGTCAACGGGGAAGCCAGATTCACTTAACAATTACTTTACTAACTTAGCAACTGCAGGGATTCACTTAATAACTGTGGCAAGAAAGGTCATAAAATGGGGGCAAAATTCACTTAACAAATGTTTCGCTTAGCAACAGAAATTTTGGGCTCAGTTGTGGACATAAGTCCAGGACTAAAGATGACTAGGGGACTGGAGACTAAAACATATAAAGAACAGTTGCTGGAATTGGGTATTTAGTTTACTGAAAAGAAGGACTAGGGGAGACACGATAGCAGTCTTCCAATATCTCAGAGGCTGTCACAAAGAAGAGGGGATCAAATTATTCTCCAAAGCCCCTGAGGGCAGGACAAGAAGCAACGGGTGGAAACTGATCAAGGAGAGATCAAACCTAGAACTACGGGAAATTTCCTGACAGAACAATTAATCAGTGGAGCAACCTGCCTCCAGAAGTTGTTAATGCACCAACACTGGAAGTTTTTAAGAAGAGATTAGACAATGATTTGTCTGCAATGGTATAGGGTTTCCTGCCTGAGCAGGGGGTTGGACTGGAAGACCTCCAAGGTCCCTTCCAGCTTTATTCTATTCTGTTCTGTATTTATACCTATGTTTGAGATAGTGAGATTTTCTAATTATATTCCAAGGGATCATGGCCTTCATTGTCCTAGAATTAGGACAGGAAGTACATTAGCTAGATAAATAGTTTATTGTCCTAGAGTTACAGGGGATAGATTAGCTGGTCTTTGGGAAAATCTATCCACAACTATTAATGAAAAGGTCAACAGTTGTGGATCGATTTTCGTAAAGATCAACTAACCTGTACATCTAAAACAACATGATGGCAACTTTAGAGCAGCATTCTGTGTCATGATAAGGTTTAAAGGTTTTGTTTAAAAATCTTTTTTTTTCTTGTATACAATATAACACACTTTTGCTTTGTTCATACAACATAACTGTAACCATAAATTTCAAGTTTTCCTTGGCAAATGAGTCAATGAGGGGGAAAATTTACTTATGTCAGGAAGATTTAAAATTGTTACATTAATAAACAGTCTATTAACACAACCCACCACCTACAAGAATGAATCCATTATATTTTATCAGATGAGCTATTCATCTCGCATTTTCACTCAAAATGGGCAGTCAAGAGTGGGGGAAATGAAAGCTAGTAAGAGAAATGCAATTAATTTTTAAAAGGCCGTGAAAAGCATTAATGAAGCATACATTCAAACAAAAAGCCATCATAAACACCATGGTTGCTTAGAAATAGCAACGTATTGTCGCATGCAGGCACACTTAATGAAGATTTCTGTGCAACTCAAAAGCCTACATACCTTCAAATCTTCTCTCTTCAAATGCCCTCCCTATTCTTCTTCCTTCTCAGGGATAATTGCTGCTTAGGATTACAAACTTTTTTGAGAATCAGTCCTACCTTCTTCTCTATGAAGCCAACCATCCATGATGCAAAACAAGTCTCGTATAGCATGAAAAATTTATCATCTTTGAGGATTATCTTTCCCTCACAATTATTTCAAGTCTCTCCGCCAACCAGAAAAAGCTCGCATGTTAAGCCAAGCCCATTCGGGAGACCAAACAAGGCTCATTGTGAGGTGCTGGACTAAGGGTGACATGATGGCAGTGTTCCAATATTTATGGGGTTGCTCCAACACCGGAAGTTTTAAAGAAGAGACTTGTCTGAAATAGTATAGAGTTTCCTACTTCAGCAGGAGGTTGGACTAGATGTCTCCAAGATCCCTTCTAACATGGACACCTAACCTCAAAAATGTCATCAAAAAAGCACAACGAAGAATGTTCTTTCTGCGCCAACTCAGAAAGCTCAAACTGCCCAAGGAGCTGCTGATCCAGTTCTACAGAGGAATTATTGAGTCTGTCATCTGCACCTCTATAACTGTCTGGTTTGGTTCTGCAACCCAACAGGACAGACACAGACTTCAGAGGATAATTAGGGAGGCAGAAAAAACAATTACTACCAACCTCCCTTCAATTGAGGACCTGTATACTGCATGAGTCAAAAAGAGGGCTGTGAAAATATTTACCCCTCACATCCCGGACATAAACTGTTTCAACTCCTTCCCTCCAAACGACGCTATAGAGCACTGCACAGCAGAACAACTAGACACGAGGACAGTTTTTCCCCAAACATCATCACTCTGCTAAACAAATAATTCCCTCAACACTGTCCAACTATTTACAAAGTCTGCACTACTATTACTGTTAATCTTCTCATCACTCCTTATCATCCATCCCCTCCCACATGTGACTATATGATTCTGTGTCACTTGTATCCTTATGATTTATATTGACTGTTTCCTAGTATGATTTGATTGCTTATTGTACCCTATGACTATCATTAAGTGTTGTACCTGATGATTATCGACTCCTGATGAATGTATCTTTTCTTTTATGTACACTGAGAGCATTTGCACCAAGACAAATTCCTCGTGTGTCCAATCATATTTGGCCAATAAAGAATTCTATCTCTATCTAACTCTATTATTCTGTTAGTTGGGCATATGGTGCTGGAGAAGATTCCCGAGAGCCTCTTGGACTGCAAGGCGATCCAACCGGTCAGTCCCAGAGGAGACTGCTCTTTAGAAAGCCAGATTCTGAAGAGGAAACTCAAAGACTTTGGCCACCTCATGAGAAGGAAGGACTCCCTGGAGAAGAGCCTAATGTTGGGAAAGATTGAGGGCAAAAGAAGAAGGGGATGACAGAGAATGAGGTGGATGGATGGAGTCACTGAAGCAGTTGGTGTGAGCTTAAATGGACTCCAGAAGATGGTAAAGGGCAGGAAGGCCTGGAGGACTGTTGTCCATGGGGTCGCGATGGGTCAGACATGGCTTCGCAACTAACAACAACCTTGATTGGAGTATCATAATAACCTACCTGTAAAGTGGTCTGGAGATGGGCTCAGAAGGGTTAATGACTGATTGCCTTCTCATGTGTATTTTAGACCCCTGCTAAAATAGGATATCTGCTAGTCAGGTGAAATGTTATGATATTGGCACACAAGTATTAAACACTTGTACTTGTGATCAGGCTATCAGAAAGATGATGTTGGTTGCCCAATACTACCCCCTTATTGATTGCTTCTGGTTTTAGAGAATGTTGGCTTGTTTTTGGAAAAGAGGGTGGTCCATAACACAATGCAATAAATAAATCACCCATCAATCTCAAGTAAGTTTTTAAGATTCTTTTCAAGCCACACAAATCAGGTTACCCAGGAAGCAAAATCGACACAGATTTTATTCCAAAGATACTTTCTCAAGAGGCAACTGGACTTTCTGTTTTTTTGTGTTTTCTTTTTGAAGAGGTTTTGCTTCTCATCTAAGAAGCGTTTTTAGCTCTGACTGGATAGTGGGGAAAGGAAAAAAAAATTCCTTGCAGAGAGTTGGTCCATTTGCATTCTTTTAGAGAGTCATTGAGAGAATCAAGAGCTGAAGAAGCTTCTTGGACAATTGGCAACCGACTTGTATTTATGACAGCTGCAGTGACCTGGGGTCATATGCTCTCCTTTGGCAGCCTTCTGACAAGCGAACAAGAATGGGAAAGCCACATTCGTTTAACAACTGGGTTGACAATTGCAGTGATTCACCTAAAAACAGCAGCAAGAAAGGTTATAAAAATGGAGGAAAACTTTCTAACTGTCTTGCTTAGCAATGGAAATTTTGGACTGAATTTTGTTTGTTAAGTTGAGGACTACCTGCATTCATCAAACCAATTAAAGGAATAATCTTGTGTTTGTGTGCCTTTGCGTCAGTGTGGACTCGTAGCAACTGCCTGGATAAGTCCTTGCAATTTTTTTGACAAGCTTTTCAGAACTGGTTTGGCAGTCACCTTCTTCCTGTGGGTGAGAGGGTGAGGCTGGCCCAAAGTCACCCAGCTGACTTCATGTTCTAAGGAAGGACTAAAATTTATGGTTTCCTGGTTTCTAACCTGCTTCCTTAACCACTACACCGAACCTTCTCTCCAAATAACAAATTAGCATACCCAAAGAACCTAAGTGGTTTCTAATAAAGGAGAATATTTATAGCTCAGGGTTGAAATGAGAGGACCAAGGACCCCCTAAGTGGTTTCTGCCCACTACAATTTGACTGGCTTACACTGCTTTGGACAAATCATTTTAGTGCAAGCAATATTATGGGGATGCACAGGACCACAGCCGGACAGTCCAAATTTTACTGTGCATAACAAAACTGCAGCTCGCTGAAGAGAAGTTTAATTTGGGGAATCCGGTACTCAGATTGTATGAGGGTTTTGAGCAATGATCCAAAGAAGGCTTTTGTGCCTCTGTACCATGAAGGTTTTGTTGTTCTTGTAGAAGTAGCAATCTATGGCACATCTGTACAGTTGTCTAATTTTTAATGTATGTTCATACATTTTTCCCTCACTTTTCTCAGCAGGAAAACTCTTGCAGAGGCATTTGATCAGTAATTGCACATGACGTTAAAAGCCAGCAGAAATGGAAAGGAGGAAGCCGTGGGAAGAAACTTTCAGAACCAAACAGGTTCAAGCTGCTTTGTAATGAATTACTCAATATGCTAAAAAAAAAAAAAAAACAGAAGGGGAAGGCGAAAGAAAATTCCCCAGAAAGCAACAAAATTAGAGTAGCTTTTTAATGCCAGTGCCCAGCTAGATGGCACCACCTTGATGACCTTGGCTGATCTCAAAAACAAGATGGGATCTGGTAAACACTTGAAACAACATCAAAGTTGTTAGATGCCAGGATGGGAGACCACCAAGAAATTCCATTCAAGCCTAAATTGAGGAATTGTTTAAAAAAATCCCAGAAGATGATAATGGTAAACCGACTTTAAATTTGCAGAGAAAAGTACAAGTATGTCAAATCATCAGGAGCTGAGCTCAACTTAATGAGCTCCTTAAAAATTGAGGGGTCCTTGGTGCTCTCTGAGCGTGGCTGTTTTCTGGCAGACATTTCATTACCCTAACTAGGTAGCATTATCAGTGCTAGTCCTGATGATGTTACCTAGTTTAAGATAATGAAACGTCTTCAAGAAAACAACCACGCTCAGAGAGCATCAAGGACCTCTCATTTCAACCCTGAGCTACAAACATTCTCCTTTATTGGTCCTTAAAAACTGTTTAAAAATAAAATAACGTCCTTAATCTTCAACATCTCAGTCTATTAATTTTACCCTTGGTGTGCTATGACATTTGTCTTTGGCATTGTTGCAAATTGAAAGTTGCACGTAATATTCAAGATGACTTGGACCACCGTAGCATAAATACAAGCAGTCCTCGGCTTACAACCATTTGTTTAGTGACTGTTCGAAGTCACACCAGCATTGGGAAAGGTGACTTACAATCGATCCTTGCACTTATGACCATTGCAGCATCCCCACATGATCAAAATTCGGGTGCTTGGCAACAGGCATGCGTTTATAACAGTTGCACTGTCCTGGGGTCCTGTGATCACCATTTGTGATCTTCCCAGCAGTTTTCTGACAAGCAAAGTCAACTGTGAAAGCCAGATTCGTTTAATGACCGCATGATTCACTTAACAATTGCAGCAATTGTCTAAAAGCCATAAAATCGGCTGCAACTCACTTAACAACTGCGTTGCTTAGCCATGGATATTTTGATCCCAGTTGTGGCCATAAGTCAAGCACTACCTGCATGCTGTTTTGTCGGTGTATAAGGTTCATAAATTGGGACAGACATGGTAACAGGTCAGCCAATGAGAACTGTTTGGTGACCTAGGCAGCTCGAAGCCTGGGCGCGGCTTAGGTTCACTGATCTATCTATCTATCTATCTATCTATCTATCTATCTATCTATCTATCTATC